TCCCTGTGCCCAGAGCTTCCTGTGGGACCCAGAAATCGCTGGCTTTGGGGACAATAAATGTGTGTTTGGGCTCAGGGCCAGCTGTCCCTCACGAGGGGAGGACATGGAGGGGAGGACATGGAGGGGAGGACATGGAGAGGAGGACATGGAGAGGAGGACAACGAGGGGAGGACAATGAGAGGAGGACATGGAGAGGAGGACATGGAGAGGAGGACATGGAGAGGACATGGAGAGGAGGACATGGAGGGGAGGACATGGAGAGGAGGACATGGAGAGGAGGACATGGAGGGGAGGACATGGAGGGGACATGGAGAGGAGGACATGGAGAGGAGGACATGGAGGGGAGGACATGGAGAGGAGGACATGGAGGGGAGGACATGGAGGGGAGGACATGGAGGGGAGGACATGGAGGGAAGGACATGGAGGGGAGGACAATGAGAGGAGGACATGGAGAGGAGGACATGGATGGGAGGACATCGATGGGAGGACATCAGGAGCGCTCCTGTGGAGCTGCAGCCCCAGAGAGCCTTTCCCAGCAAGGCACTTACAGGAATTGGGGACATTGCCACCAAGCCAGTTCCTGTAACTCATTTCCAAGCCAGTAATGAAACATTTATTTGCAATGCCCGCTCTGCAGGGATGAGCCATGGGAAGGGATTGAGCAGGAGCCACTGTGGGGAGAAAAACCTCTGGATGTGAGTCACAGGAGCCAGTGCTGCTGACAGACACAGATAATCACATCTTCCCTCTGTCATTTCATTTAACCGTTATTTAGGAGACCCAAAAATGACAAATACATTTGAAATTATTGGTTTTCCAGCAGGTTTCCTTGTTAACATCCCCGTTAGATTTCATTGCAGTGGCTCCTCCAGCCGTCGATTTGTCTGGATAATCCTGCCCTGGGAGCTGAGGGGGGCAGGATTATCCAGACACCCCTTCCCTCCTCCTGCAGCTTTCCCTGCCAGCCTTCCCTCCCTCCTGCTGCCCCACAGCTTCGGGCCAAGGGCTCCTCTCCTTGTTTATTGTTATTTATATTGCTATTTATATTGTTATTTATATTGTTATTTATATTGTTATTTATATTGCTATTTATATTGTTATTTATATTGTTATTTATATTGCTATTTATATTGTTATTTATATTGTTATTTATATTGTTATTTATGAGGGGGTGCCCCACACCCCCCCTGACCCACGGAATCCCTTCCCACACACGGGGCTGAGGGAAAGCTGCAATCTCACTTGTCCCTTCACCTCCCTTCAGCCTCAGCTTCTTTTTAAGCAGATTTCTCCTCCCAGCTGTCTCTCCCCATTCCAGAGCAGCAGGGCTGGGCTGTGGGATTTCACCTGGAGCCGCTCACTCTTCCAGGTCTGATGGATTTTTGGCTCCCTAATCAGTGCTCCAGGAAAACGACATCACCCCACAGTTTGTCTTTAGACTGAAAGCCATAAAATAACCTGGCAGTGATAAATGCAAGAGATGGAGGCTCCAACAGTCTCCGCTCTGTGTTTCCGTGCCTGTATTAACCAGGGATTTCCTGGAGCAGGGAACATTGATTTCAGTTCTTATTCTGAACAAACAGAAGCTGAAATCCTCCTCAAAGGGAGATCTGAGAAAATCTCCTCCTCAGAAGTTTTCCAGCAGTTTCCAAAGCAGCAGCAGAGCCTGGAGTTGTTCTTTAGGGCTGGGATGCAGCTGGTGTCCCCTTCCAGCAGCAGTAAAATGCAGTTTTTTCTGCACCATCCCATCCTGAAACACACTGGCAGCGATGTTCTGCTGCTCAGCCATCCAACCAAAACCAAAACATCCCCAAAATGTCCCCAGAACACCCAGGGAAAGGTGAGCAGGCCCAGGGGGAAGCAGCAATAACCCGAGGGAAGGAGTGGGGATGTTTCAGGTGTCCCTGTGGTTTTTATGGAGTAACAAAAACAATCTGTGGTTTTCCTTATGCAGATTATGGAGAAGTGGTCGTGCAAATTGCTTGTACATTTATTATCCCCTTCCAACGTTAATGTTACTGGGTGAAAGCTAATGAAAGCTAATGAATTCCTGGGCTGGTTTGCTGTAATCACTGGGTGAGGCACTGGAGGCACAGGGTGAGTTTGCCAGCGTGTGAGCTGGATTTGGGGCAGTGATGGAAGAGGGAGAAGGGCTCTGCTGCAGCCCCAGGGGAAGCTCCCTCGCCCAGTTTGGTTCAGATCAGGACTTTGCTGAGCACTGTGTTTGCTGTCCCTGGCCTGGCAGCTGCATTCCCAGCACATTCCCTGCTGTGTTTGCCCAGCTCTGTGGAGCTCCAGGCACAGCCAGGCCAGCCCAGCTTTGGGATGGCTCCCAGGGGAGTGGCAGTGGCACTGCAGGGGACAGGCAGGCAGAGATAACGCTGCACGGGGCTTTAGCAGTGTTCACTCATTGAGTATTTCAGATTTACAGCGCCATTGGATCGGGTTTGCTGGAATTACAGCATTATTCTGTATTATTCTGGAAATACAGAATTATTACAGCAATCCCTGGCTGCAGAGCTGAGCCAGCCGTGCCCATCCCACACCCAGCTGTGGCCCTGCTCCCAGGTGTGCAAACAGCCAGAATTCCCCGTGGCTCAGTGGGATATTCCCAGTGGGAAGCCTTTGCCTTCCCCACGGGGAGGGGTTTGCAGCTGGAGGAGCTGGGGGTGGCCGGGGCTCACTCAGCACTGCTGATCTGGGGCTGGCAGGAGCTTCCTGTGGCCACCTCCAGCTCTCCATCCTGGCCACAGCCCAAGCCAGCAGCTCCTGGGCTTTATTCCCAGCTTTTCTGGGAGCTCCTGGCGGGCTCAGGCTGAGCTGGGGTGGCCCAGGGACCCTTCAGCTCTCAGGAGGTTCAGCCTCAGCTCGTGAGGAGCTCCTGGACCGGCTCCGAGCTGGGGTGGGGAGCAGCAGCCCCAGCTGAGGGAGGCAGAGTGAGGCAGGCAGAGCTCCACGTGCCCATAAACACCTTCGAGCAACATCTGGAGAACTGCTCGGGAAAAAATAAACAGATTTTTATTTATAAGTTATGTGGTTTGGGTTTTACGGCGTTTTGATGATGCACATAAATTATTGTTTAAAACCAGAGAACGTAAAAAGTTCCAGGAGGAGGCAGTTGTTGCCTTTGATAATCTCTTTCCTGAGGAATTTGCTGTGTTTTATTTTCAGCTGGTGGTTCCTTTGGCTGGCAACTGGAAAACCTGACAGTTGCTTTTCATCTTTATTTGTGTCTGTAGTTCCAAGCTCAAAAAAGTTTATTACTATTTACAATGTTTGCTATTTAAAAAGACAAAATGCACTCACTGAAACAACTCCATGTGCAGTGGAAGGATGGGAAAGTCTCTCTTCTCTATATTTGTGGATACTCATCATCTTGGAGGTTTATTCCTCTAGTCTGAGATCCCAAAGGCCACCTGAGCTCTGGGGCTGGGGCTGTTTGCAGCTGCTGCAGGAGATAAGAGCTGCTGGCCCTGGGGATCTGCCAGTGCCAGGGGCTCCTGAGCCTCTCCCCGTGCTCAGAACCGAAATCCTGACGGGATTAAACACTGCTGGCAGCTGTGGCTGCCCTTGGGCCACTGCCCACAGCTGGGCTGGGCTCTGTCCACAGCTGGGCTGGGCTCTGTCCACAGCTGGACTAGGCTCTGTCCACAGCTGGACCAGGCTCTGTCCACAGCTGGACCGGGCTCTGTCCACAGCTGGACCGGGCTCTGTCCACAGCTGGACCAGGCTCTGTCCACCGCTGGACTGGGCTCTCTGTCCACAGCTGGACCAGGCTCTGTCCACAACTGGACTGGGCTCTCTGTCCACAGCTGGGCTGGGCTCTGTCCACAGCTGGACCGGGCTCTGTCCACAGCTGGGCTGGGCTCTGTCCACAGCTGGACCAGGCTCTGTCCACAGCTGGACTGGGCTCTGTCCACAGCTGGGCTGGGCTCTCTTCATGTCCCAGCTGGGATTTGACAGCAGGCACACGGAGCAGGACCTGCAGGGTGGGATCATTTCCCCACAAAGTGCTGCAGTGTGGCTCAGGCTGGAGAAAGGGGCCGAGAGCAGCAGTGGCCTGGGGTGACCTGCCTATCCAGATGCCAATGTCCGTTTCACAATTCTTATTTTTCAGTTGCCCCCACAATTCAGGAACTTAAATCCAGCGGTGTGATGCTTGGAGGGAACGGCCTGATCCGGTGTGAAGGTGCAGGAGTGCCTGCCCCGCTCTTTGAGTGGTACAAAGGAGAGAGGAAGTAAGTAGCCACTGCTCGCCCATCCCTCGTGCCAGGGCTGCTGCCAGGCTGGGGCTGCCCCGGGGTGACCATTCCGAGCTCCAGCAGCTCCCTGAGCTCCAGCAGCTCCCTGAGCCCCAGCAGCTCCCTGAGCTCCATCAGCTCCCTGAGCTCCATCAGCATCCTGAGCCCCAGCAGCTCCCTGAGCTCCATCAGCTCCCTGAGCTCCATCAGCTCCCTGAAGCTCCATCAGCTCCCCGAGCTCCATCAGCTCCCCGAGCTCCATCAGCTCCCCGAGCCCCAGCAGATTCCCGAGCTCCATCAGATTCCCGAGCTCCAGCAGCTCCCCGAGCTCCAGCAGCTCCCTGAGCTCCATCAGCTCCCTGAGCCCCAGCAGCTCCCTGAGCTCCATCAGCTCCCTGAGCTCCATCAGCTCCCTGAGCCCCAGCAGATTCCCGAGCTCCATCAGCTCCCCGAGCTCCATCAGCTCCCCGAGCTCCATCAGCTCCCCGAGCTCCATCAGCTCCCTGAGCTCCATCAGCTCCCCGAGCTCCATCAGCTCCCTGAGCTCCATCAGCTCCCCGAGCTCCCCGAGCTCCATCAGCTCCCTGAGCCCCAGCAGCTCCCCGAGCTCCCTGAGCTCCATCAGCTCCCTGAGCCCCAGCAGCTCCCTGAGCTCCATCAGATTCCCGAGCTCCAGCAGCTCCCTGAGCTCCATCAGTGGTTGCTTGGAGCTGCCAGCTCCAGGAGCTGCCCCGTGGCCGCGGCTCCTGTTCTGTGAGAGAGGAAACTGCAAGAGCCTGGCATCCAAAGGTGCTGCAGGAATTGCAGCCTTTGAAGGGTGAGAGCCAGAAAGGCGCTGGGGAAATGTGCAGAGAGGGTTTTTGTTGAATTTGTGTCCCTCCCCTTTGGAGGGGGCTGTGGTGTGCCCTGGCCGTGTTCCCTGGGGCCAGCAGGGCTCTGGCAGGGCAGCTGCACCCCGAAAGCTGCCCGTGTGTGCTGCCTTTGTGTGCAGCCCCTGCCCTCCTGCCTGCTGGGGGCTGTGGCACAGCAGCAGCTCTGCAGGGGCACCTTCACCCCACAGGCTGCTCATCCAGCAGGGAGGTGTGTTTCTAGGTGTGTTTCTAGGTGTGTTTCTAGGTGTGTTTCTAGGTGTGTTTCTCCTGGACATTTTGGTTTACAGCTCTTGGCTTCTGCAGGAGCTCGTTTCTGTTGGGTTCACACGCTGGTGCAAAGCAGGTGGATATTGTCCCTTGTAACTGGGAAGCTTTGGGGATTTCCCAGCTCCCAAGTGCTGGGTTTTTCAGCTCGAACATCCCCTTAAACCTGGGAGCTGGCAGGAGAATATTAATGACCCTTTTTCACAGAAAGCCATCTGCCAGCTCCTTCCTCAGCTGCTCCCCTCCTGCAGCACGAGCTGCTGTCCTCCTCCCTCTTTGCTGGGCCATCGCCTCCCACCGAATCCTAAAGCTTCCCTTGAGCTGCTCCTTCCTCTGTGCTCCGGGAATGTTTCTCCTCTGTCGGTGGAATCCATCTGCAGCCCATTTCCACGGCTGCTCGTGCCCAGGCAGGGGCAGCTGCAGCACAAACACCCTTTCACATTTTGGGGATGTTTCAGAGCAGCTTTTGGCACTCTGGGTTCAGTGAGCAGCTCCCAGCTCGCTGATCACCTTCCTGTCCATAACAACTCACCCAGCTCCTCTCTGCTGAGCACCTTCAGTGCCACAGCAGCAGGAAAGGAGCAGCAGAATATTTCAGGACACCCAAGCTGTGCTTCTGCTCCTGTTTTGGCTGGTGTTTCACCTCAGCAGGAAAAGCTCTGTCCTGTTGGGTCTTGCTGCTCAAATACTGGGTTAAATCTAATGCTCCATCCTTTCAGGAGCTGGGCTTCGATGACCCTTGGGAGTCCCTTGCAGCTCAGGGGATGCTGTGAGCAAAGGTGCTGGGGATCTCTGAGCCCCATCCCTTGCAGGAGAAACACCCATAGGTATTGGTTTGGGCTGGTTTGGACCCAGTGTCTCCCCTCTGCCTCTGGATGATGGGCAGCCAGCTCAGGGTGACCTTGGGCAGCTCAGGGTGAGTTTTGGGCAGCTCAGGGTGAGTTTTGGGCAGCTCAGGGTGAGCCTTGGCCAGCTCAGGGTGAGCCTTGGCCAGCTCAGGGTGAGTTTTGGGCAGCTCAGGGTGAGTTTTGGCCAGCTCAGGGTGAGTTTTGGGCAGCTCAGGGTGAGTTTTGGGCAGCTCAGGGTGAGTTTTGGGCAGCCCAGGCACTGCTTTGATGCAGAGCTGAGAAGGTTCAGCTCCCAGAGGGAGCTCACAGGAGCACCTCCAGTACCCTGCAGATAATTTGCAGCCGTGCTCAGGGCTGAGCTTACACCCTGGGAGTGCACACCCTCTGGGTTCTCTGCTAACACAACTCAGAGGGACACATTTTTATCAGAGGCTCTTGGACCGGGACTCCTCTTTCTTAGAAATCTGGATGGATATTTTATTTCAATGAATTAGCAGTGGGAGTTAGCCCTGAAATCGTAAGTGTGTGTGCAGTGTCTGAAACAAGGCTTTTGGGGGTGGAAACTGCTTTGTTGTTACTGAGATTAATGTAAATCCAAACCCACCATTCCCAGGCTCCAGGGATCACCTCATCATAAAATAACCATTAAAGCTAAACACAGAGGCAGTAACAGACTGCACTGAGTTAAAGTTATTGCTCTTTGAGGCAGAGAGGGCTAATTCTGCCTAATCACCGAGCTCCCAGGAGTTCTGCTCAATAACCTCCCCCAGGGTGGGGAGAGATGGAGAAAATTTGGGGGACAAGTTAATAAAAGCATCTTAAATTTGTGATAGAAACATCACATGGTTGGGTTGGAAGGGATCTTAAATCCCATCCCATTCTCACCTGCCCCTGTCCCAGGCTGCTCCCAGCCCCAGTGTCCAGCCTGGCCTGGGGCAGTGCCAGGGGTCCAGGGGCACTGCCAGGGGTCCAGGGGACTGCCAGGGGTCCAGGGGACTGCCAGGGGTCCAGGGGCTCTGCCAGGGGTCCAGGGGCTCTGCCAGGGGTCCAGGGGACTGCCAGGGGTCCAGGGGCTCTGCCAGGGGTCCAGGGGTCCAGGGGACTGCCAGGGGCACTGCCAGGGGTCCAGGGCACTGCCAGGGGTCCAGGGGACTGCCAGGGATGGGCTGGTGGAAATGTGTGTGGCTTTGGAGACTGCTGAGGGCTCCCTGTGGAGAGCAGAACAGCTTCACTGTGCCAGCCCTGAACCCACATCTGCTCTCAGGCTGTGTTCTGGGTTACAGAAATTACATCTCAGACATTAAACAGCCACAGGGAAGGAGCCCAAAAGTCACCTAAATAAAATATTAAAATATTAATTCCCTTTCCCTTCTCAAAGCTTACATTTGAAATAACAGAAGTGATGATGGTGGCTCCATCACGGTGAGGTGGCAGCAAGGGCAGGCAGCCATGGCCACGCGTGGGAAACACCTCTGGAATGAGAAGGAGCTCGCTTTTCCCTTGGGAGAGGCACAAAGCAGGGGGGAAGGAGGCTGCAGGGTGGCTGCACACACCCCAAAGTGCTGCTGCAGCCTGGGGGGCACAGCTGAGGCACAGAGAACGTGGTAAACCTGTGCTCAGTCCTGAGCAAGGAATTCCCCAGGAAAAGCAGCTGCACACCCACGGCCTCAGGGCAGCTCTGGCCAGCTGCTGCTCAGGGATTGCTCATGGATCTGCACATCTGGCCAGAGGTTTGCTCCAGGACATCCCAGCAGGGCTGCAGAGCGGGGACTGGGAGCACTGGAGGGGAAGGAGCTGGCAGCCCTGGGCAGCCAGGGAGGGCAGCAGGTCACAGCAGACACTCTCGGCTGTTTTGGGGCAGGTGTCACCTGAGACAGGGCATGGTGACAGCAAAAATCCCAACAAAATTTCCCCTGGGGGATAAAGGAGGTGAGGCAGGTGAAAATGGAGATGCTGTGGATCAAACTCTGGCTGTGGGCCAAAGGCGTGGAGCTGTTGGGAACAGCTGCTGCAAAGCACAGCATCCCAAACTGCTTTGGGCTGGAGACCTTAAATCCCACCCCAACCCCCCTGCCATGGCAGGGACACCTCCCCCTGCCCCTCCAGCCCCCAGAGCCACTGCAGGGATCCAGGGGCTGCTCTGGGCACCTGTGCATGGCAGCAGCACAGCAGAGGGCTTGGCAGTGAGGAACTCTTTTGGAATTTCCTGCAGGAGAGGCAGGAAACAGAGGGACAGCCACTGCTGGGTTTAGAGGAGAACATCCATGTGCCAAGGCTGAAGGCACAAGTTTCCACCTGACACAGAAGTGTTCTCTTTCTGGACAAAAAGGAGCAGAGTTCACCCCAAACCAGGCACTGCAATCCCATTTTTCCAGGTTTTCGTGCCCATGGGATGTGGCATGGAAGAGCAGGGTCCTTTACAGCAACAGGAACTGCTGGGGAGGAGCAGCCCTGTGTGAGCAGAGCCTGCAGGGGTCTGATGGGAAGAGAGGCACTCCCAAAACAGTGAGCAGTGCTCAGTCCACAACCTGCACACGTGCAATTAATGACAGATTTGCCAAGGGTTTCAGACAGAACGGTAGATGATGGCATTAATTCCCAGGATATATGATTATATCCTCCAATATAGCAGACAAAAATTGTATTCTTAATCCAAAACTCTGCTCCTTATGGGAAATAGAAGGAATTATGAGTAATAACTGTAGTGAGTTTTTAATAACGCTGTTCCCCTTCTCGTCTCCTTGTTTGATCAGACGTGGTTTGCCTACAACAGCATCATTAGGGTTGGTTCTCCTGCTTTGTCCTGGTGCCCAGCACTGCCCCTGGCATGGCTTTGGGAGCAGTATCCAAACTCCTGCATTTTCCCTATGACTTTGGGGTAGGAAGCTCAAAGCTGGGTGAAAAGAGTCCTGTTTTGGCTTTCTCCTGATCCTGCCCAGGCTCAGCAGTGCTGCTGGAGCATTTTGTCCCGAATTGCAAGGCTCATTTGCAGCTCTAGAACCCCATAAACGAAACCATGGTCACAATCCTGGCTCCTCATCCTCACCTGGCACCAGCCAGAGCTGTGCAAGCACACAGCAAACTGCAGGGGCTGAAAAACCCCTCTTACAAAGCCTTACCATGACCCCTTTCTGCCCCAGGGAGGGTGTTTCAGTTCCCACTTCGCTTGGCCCAGTTTAAAATCCCATCTCTGCATCTGGGAGTTTCTGTGCCCTGCTCCTCCAGGCAGGAAGGGCCGTGGCTGTTTCTTGTCCCTCAGCTGCAGGACACATTTTTTTTATTTTTTAAAAAAAAATTTAAAAAATATTTTTAAATAAATTATTTTTTATTTATTTAAAAAGCACCCCCAGGGCTGGCCCTGGCCTCTCCAAAGTACCAGGAATTGTGCTTGGCACAGGCACTGGCAGCTTGCAAAGAGCTCGTGGAGCTCCCAGGGCTGTCTGCAAAACCAGGCAAGAAAAGACAGCTATGAAAAAAAAAATAAAAAAGAAATCTCGGTTGTGGTACATGAGTTATAGACATTTTCTTTTTGCTTTCTAGACTGATCAATGGTCAACAAGGAATCACTATTAAAAATTATAGTACAAGATCCCTTCTTACTGTTACCAATGTGACAGAAGAGCACTTTGGCAACTATACTTGTGTCGCTGCCAACAAGCTAGGGACGACCAATGCCAGCCTGCCTCTCAACCGTAAGTAACGGGGACACAGCGTGGCAAATGCTGGGGGTCGGTTCTTCCCACCCCCCGTGGATTCCCCGGCCAAAGGAAGCTCGGAGCAGCCTGGGAAGGTCGCTGTGCTCGTCGGGACTCGCAGGTTCTGCGCTGGCGTGGCCGCTCCGTGCCGGGGCAGGCGCGGGGAGCCTGGCACCTGCTGGGGCTCAGGCACTTGTGGCTGTGCCAGGAACCCCAGCCCGTGGTGCACAGCTCCCCAAGGGAACACTCAAAGCAAGGGCAGAGATTTCCAGCCCATTGCCAGGAATCCCTGAGCTGGAGAGCTGGGATGTGCCAGAGCTCTGGGCTCGCTTTGTCCCTGGGTGCAGAGAGGTGGAATCTCCTGGAAAGGACAGCGGGCAGTGTGAGAGGAGAAGCCTGGGGTGCCCAAAAGGCAAATTTACCCCAAAAGGGTCTCCAAGGTGCTGTTTGGGAGGTATTTTTGGCTGTGGCTTTTAGCACTTCCCTGCTGTTGGATGTTCAGCCATCTGCTGGTGGGTCCAAAGGTGTTGGTGGTGGAGCTGCTCTGTTCTGCTGCTGATAAAAGAGAGACAAAACTCAGGGTGTATCCCTCACATAAAGATATTCCTCACTCAGTGGAAATGCAGGGTTTCAGCTGCTTAAATCCCACAATTATTGCCTTTCTTCCGTGAAATTTCCTCCTGAACGCACTCCCCACGTGATGAGAGGTGTCAGGAGGTTCTGAATTCCTGCAGGGGAGATGTAACAGGCACAAAATAACAGGGAGCCTTTGCTGCCATTTATTTAATATTTGAGGGATCATTACCAAAGCGGGAACGACGTTACACTTATTTTAAACAGGAAATGCAAGTGGAAACAAAGGAATATTAAGGCAGAAGGAGCTGGAATTTGATGTATTTGCAATTCAGAGCAGGTAAAATGAAGGTCTGGCTTCATTGCAACAGAGCAGAGCTGAATCTGTCTCTGAGCTGCTGCCAGGATTTTTTCCATCTTAAATTGTGAGGTGCCTTGTAGCCACCCTTGAAAAGCACTTTGAGAGGCAGAGGCTGAAAATGTCACACAAGTACCAAGTGCATTGGTGCAAATCATAAAAATAGATGTTCTCCATCATGAAAGAGAGGGGACGTGGGAGGCAGAATGGTCTGAGAAAATACAAAAATCTGGGTCTGCTCCTGACCTCAGGAGGGAAATGGGGGATGTTGGCTCAGAGGTTTGACTCAAAGACCAAGCTGAAATGTCTTATTTTATACTGTGATTGCTTTAATCCAGTCAAAACAAGGAGAGCTGTCCTAAAGGTGGTGGAAATATCTGGATTTTGGTTGGGAACGAGGATCATTTGGTGAAGCTTTTTCCTTTGTTTGTAATTTAATATTATCTGGAAGCATTGTCCCTTTAAAAATAATAATAAAAAAAAAGACAAAAAAAGAGAAGTAACAATAATTCTCAGGGTAGCAACTCGTTAAGTGTGGACTCCTTAATCCTTGAGCGAGAATTTTCTGCTGTGAAAGTCGGGTTTCATTTTGCTGGCAGTGAGAGTGGACCATATGTGCTGGTTCAGGTATGTGCGAGGGAGCTGCGAGTTCTGCTCGGCTGCAGCGCTCAGGAACCAAATGCAGGGTTCACTGAAGTTCCATTTGTCACTCGAGGGGTGTTAAAATAGAATTGCTGCCTTATTCCAGGGCGTGCTGCAGGCTGTGGCTGCGCTGCTGTGACACCGGCGGTGCCCGGGGAGCAGCGGGAACTCGGGAACCCCAATCTGTGGGGAACCCCTGGGGTGTGCACAGACATGGGAGAGGAACCCCAGACCCCAGCAGGAGCAGCTCAGCCCCAGTGGGACCCTGTGCTGTGACCTGGGGGATCTTGGGATCCTTCATCCCATGGGGAACCCCTGGGGTGTGCACAGACATGGGAGAGGAACCCCAAACCCCAACAGGAGCAGCTCAGCCCCAGTGGGACCCCGTGCTGTGACCCCTGAGCACAGGGCCCCCCCATGGCCACTGGGGCTCCTTGGCCAGCAGCCCTGGGCACTCAGTGGCCCCTGGCTGCTCTCTCCCCTCAGGGTGGGTGTTTTCACAGGGATGCTGCAGCAGAGCTGGAAAACCTGGGGGTTCTTCTTTGTGCAGCCCCATGTAACAAACACCATGGGCACCATGGGCACCATGGGCACCATGGGCATCATGGACATCATGGACACCATGGGCATCATGGGCATCAGGGACATCAGGGACATCATGGGCATCATGGGCATCATGGGCATCATGGGCATAATGGACATCAGGGACATCATGGGCATCAGGGACATCAGGGACATCATGGGCATCATGGGCATCATGGGCATCATGGACATCATGGACATCAGGGACATCAGGGACATCAGGGACATCATGGACACCATGGGCACCATGGGCATCATGGACACCATGGGCATCATGGGCATAATGGACATCAGGGACATCATGGACATCATGGACATCAGGGACATCAGGGACATCATGGGCATCATGGGCATCATGGGCATCATGGGCATCAGGGACATCATGGACATCATGGGCATCATGGACATCATGGACATCATGGACATCATGGGCACAGTGTCCACCACAGACCTACATGGCACAGCTGGGCACAGCTGGGGACCTTTCTCGGGGACAGCCCAGCCTCCATGACTGGGATCTGCATCCAAATCCCCAAAACCCGAGGAGAGAAGGCAAAGGATGATTCCCTTTCCCATGGAGAGGGCTCTGGCTCTCCGTGATCCACCAGGGAGCCCTGAGCTGGCAGAGAGCCACGGGGAGGGGAAAGGAAGGTTAGGATGAGGCTCAGGCTGCCCTGTGTGGGCTGAGGAGCACCAGGAGAACTTTCTGGGCTGTGGCTGCTCAGCCAGGGCCAGGGAAGAGCCCCGTGAGCTGGGGACACCCCCAGAGGGCACCCAGAGCCACGTGTGCCCTGGGGACAGGCAGCAGTGAGCACAGGGGAGTTGGTCCTGTCCCTGTCCCTGAGATCCAGTGGTAAATAATAAATCCAGCAGCTGGAAGAGAGGAAGTCACAGGCAGGGAAAACACAGGGAAGCAGTGGCTCCAAAGAATGAATAATCAATGGCAATTTGTTAATTATTCATGGCTGGGTCCTCTGGGTCCTCCAGCTGTGTTGGTTTTTGTGGGGAAGTGTTTGAAGTGGGGGATCCCTGATAAGGGACACCTCTCTTAAGAAAGCCTTGCAGTCCACGGGAAGCATCCTTGTCCTTTCCTAACAGAGAAATGCCAGAGAAATTGTTTTTTCCATGGCTGGTTCCATGATCCAGAGGTTTTACTGATGCCCAGGTTTATACAGAATCCTTGGATATGTTGCCAGTAACTGTGACAGAAACGTAAGTAACTGTGAAAAGCTGCCCAAGAGGCCGGCAGTGACATTTGGAAGGAGAAGGAGCCGTGTGAGAGGGATGTGGTGGTGTTTTCTGTGCTGATTTAATCCCACGAGGACTTCACTGAGCAAGCATCTCCTGCTTAGAGGCACACGTTT